ATAAATTTAAATAAATAAATTTCTTAATTCGTTGCATTATTACATTAATGATTAATAATTATAATTTGAAATATTAAAATATATTTTCGACACTTTGGAAAGTTTGAGCGACATCAGTCGTAAAAAGTGATCATTTAAAAACACCCTAAAAGTAGGCAAGCATTTTTTGTTTTTTTCTTAGAAACTAAAACGCCAAAGCAACAAGTAGTGCTGGTCGTATTCGGTTTTACGAAGTATTGGAAGAACCCGAAATTCGAATAGTAAACGAAGTCTTCGCAGTTGGAAATAAATTCGGATTTAAAAAAGGTCAAGTGAGAGCACAAAATGCGAACAAACGTGTGTTTTTTTGGTATTTTATGCATGTTGAAATCCGATTATTTGAATAATCGAAGAACTGCGGTTTTTAAATAAATTCGAGCAATGTGCACAGCACTACCAACAAGTATGAAGCGATCGTAGATAACAAAGTCACGCACCGATCGTCAAACTTTAACTTCCAAACGTATGACATTTAGGATGTTAGCGAATATTACGACTGAGGAAGGATATAAATGCGTCCGTAGGTGGCATGAGTATTCAGAATTTGGATGCTACTATTTCAAAAAACTTGAACAATATTCTTAAGAGAGATTTAGAAATTAGAAACCGTAGCTGATGAAAATAAGACGCGCAGGTAGGTTCTTAACTTTAATAGTGTATGCCGAGAGAACCTTATCAGATTTGTTGATGTTATATGGTTGAAATTTGATAAAAATAAAAATTTAACAAGCGGGGCCCAAAACCCCAAAGACATACTAACAAGTATATATAGAAGCAAGTTAGGAACAAAACCATTGGATTATATAAGCAATTAAAAATTTTTAAATATATATAACAACGGTATAAAGAAAGAAGTGTATGATAAAGGAATAGCGCAGTTTAATAAGATGGCTAATTTTATGGTGGTTCAGCTAAATTTGGAGGATCAAAAGGCCTACATTATTCCAGTGTACATAAATTGAAATAATTGGGATGCTGATTTCACCGACTTAAGGGACGCATTATATGATATTGACAATATAAATGTGACGGTTTAAGGCGATTTTAATGGAAGAATAGGAACAGAACAAGCTATGGAGTTTATTCCTGAATTATCACAGGGAAACGCACAGTTACAAAGAAATGTAAAAGATCTAACTCCACATAGAAACTGAAGAAGATTAATAGAGTTGTTCAATGCTCTAGGACTCCCAGTAATGAATGGTAGAATTAGTCGCGATTTAGAGGGTGAAATAACATTTGCGCGTGGTGAAGCACCGTCAACAATTGATCATTGTCTTTTAAAAGGTTTATTCTTAAATATTATACAGCAACTTATTATGCAAGAGAAAATCTACTCGGACTATCTACCCGTAGAACTAGCCCTTAAGTCAAATCTACTGCTGAAGTAAATATGACCGAC